GAGAAGTGCAGCAGAATATTTGCTCTAATATCTCAGATGAAGAGAATGTAGTAGTTTGAAGCGGAGTGTGCGGTTGCAGTCTCTAACTGTGGACCCTGAAGCTCAGCAATGGATAAACATGAGAGACTGATTCTTAGATACAAAAAAACAGGGAGAATGAATAAAATCAAGAACAGTTTAAAAGGTTTGTGAATGTTTCAGTATGATATGTGCAGGAATGTTTTAATTTTGGGGGTGGGGGTCATTTTTTTTCTGCTGTTCCTGCTGCCGGCGTTGCTCAGAGGCAGTATGAAATGAAGGAAGAAGAAAGTAAGTCTATTTTATCCAAACAGTTCAAGTTATAACAAGGGAACTGTAATTCAGTTAGTGTGTCATTAGAGTATCATCTCCTGATTTCAGGTTTTCAATCCTGTATGGTATTAGCTCTAATGGTAAGGATGAGAGACAAATCTCTGTGCTTTTGGCAAGAACAGAGGAATTTGCACAGGCATAGTGTGACAGAATTCCCCACATACTACATTAGCAAGGATAATTTCTATGATCATCCTTTAATGAGGTGGTCCTGCAGTTCCCAAAGGGTATATTAAGTGAAGACCATGTTTTCATCCTACTGTATTATTAGTGAATTCAGTGTGCCAGTCACACCAGCACCTAGGTGTCACCATTATCCATTGCCGCTGTTCTCCTTTTCAGATCTGGTTTAAATTTCCTTTCCACCTTCACATCTTAAGTTGGGTGAGAAAGAGGAAAACAAGCCACACTTTTTGCTGTTGTTATTGCAAAATCTTAATGGTTTAAAAGCTAATAATTAATTAGTTGACCTAAATGAAGAGACAAATTGAAAAATGTACCCTGTGAGCATGTGCAGTATTACAAAACTACTGCCTGTGTGTATTAATGTCTTAATATGTCCACAGTTCTTTGGAAAAGCATCTTGAGTACCTTTTTCTGCACATATTCGTACCCTACTTTAACTGCTGCCAGCCAGGAAGACTTGCACGACACTTGTCGTGTGTTTCTGACTTGCAAGCTATAAAGGGCCTTGTTCACCGGAGTTTGAAACTCTGGCAAACATTTTGCTGCAGATCTATTAAGGATGCTACAGCATTCCCAAGTGTGGTTGAGACTGCTTGGAACTGCTGAGCTGGCATTTTATTTTAGATGGTATTCACAATAAGGGCTTACACACAAATCCTCCCCCACCAGTGCAACCCCAAAGCTCACAATTAAATGGCCTTTGAAAATGGCAAAGAGGCTTATGAAGAGTAGTCTCAATGGAATCTAACCTTTCCTTGAGCTGCACTTGTGTGCAGAATTGTTGATAACTTTCCGAGCAGAAAACGTTCAGTTAAGAGGCAGACGCTTTTTAGCTGGAGTGAAATAGCTGCAGCCTTCTTGTGTTCTGCATGTAAACTACCAGCAAAATCTGCCCTTACTCTTCACAGGCACACAACTTTTACAGAATTCTCAGTGACCAAAGTTCAGTTTTCTCTAAAACACTTGCTTTCTTGCAAGCGCTGAGAAGTGTACGGATGGCCGTCGAGTCCGTCTCTTGCTCTCACAGGACGTGAGGTTCAGTGATCTCTACTGAATTGCCAAGAATCATAATACAGACCTGATAGAAACCTGCCTCATCACCGAATCATTGCTTAGAAGGTGGCAAAGGCAAGAGTTAGGGTGAATGCTGACTTTACGGTTTTACTCTAAACAAAGACATACTTCCTTTAACTTGCAACTAAGTTTAGAAACAAAGCAAAGCGGGGGAGAATAGAAGGGGAAATTTCCCTACCCTGCAAATTCCATCTTTGTGACCTGTAGATGAAGTGAGGAAAGCATGTCCTGATGAAAGGTACACTTCTGAGGGAATTAATTTTATACATATCAAAGAAGAGCACACATCTAGCTGGCATTATTTACGTTAAACTATATGAAAACAGTTGAAATCCAGTATTTCTCTGGCAATGGGAATTTTATTTACAAGATTTTAGGAAAATCAATTTATATATTTTCAGGATGGTTAATAAATGCCATAAGCTTAATCCATGCACACTGAAAGTCACTGCTACGTGGTTAAGCCTTACCATTTAAAAAACAAATGCCAAACAATACAAATATGATCACCCATGTAATGTTGAAGAGTGATTAAGCGTAAGTTTTCTACATCTGAAATGATCCCTTTTGTTCTTTTCTTCCACTCAAGCATCTGATTCTAGAATCCTCTATGAATGCTTGCTTACAACCCCTTTACCAGATATCTAATGCCTTTAAAATATTTTAATGGGGAATCAGTGCCTTTGGAAGCTACCAGATTGATTGTTACGGCGTCTAAAGTGATATAGCTTATCCATAGAGCAATCTGAGACTGCCAAACTAATTTCACAGGGAAAATTAAGCAGAATATTTTCAGAGCCTTCCTATAACTCTGTGCATGAGTTTCTTCTGTGTTTTTTTTTTTTTTTCCCCTCATCTTTACTTTATGTTTTGGCATACGAATCAATGGTACAGTTGCTATTCAAGTATGTGACAGGTACTTCACACATAGTATTTTAGATAACAGATGTGGAAAAATGATCAGCAAAATGCCTACGTTTGTTTCACCTCCTTCAACCTCAGCCTTCAGTTTGACAAACACATTTATTTGCAATTCTGAATTTTTTTTCCTGTAGTAGCCCCCTTCAGGGGCTACCTGCCCGTAGGAGGTAAGCCAGGAATGTCAGGCTCGTGCCTCATGAGCTATTGCTGTAGAACTAATGTTGGGTGCTAACAAACTGCAAGCACTGATTTATGGATTTGAATGTTTGTTTGGTTCTGCAGTCCATTTACCTAAATCACAGAATCTCTCACTACAAAGTTCTTCTGCAATAAATATACTCTCTTCTGCTTTTCCTTCAGGCTGCTACTGTACAAGCAGAGGCTTATGGCAGCCAAATTTTTATGGTGTCGATGTATAAATTGAAACTGCTTCTGTTTTCCCTCAAAAATGCACTTTAACTGAGTGTGCTAAGAGCTTCAGAACCTCCCCTATATACCAAACATGGTAAGAAATTCAGAAACTCAGATGCAGTTGAGTCAGATAAACAGGTTTTCACTTTAAGCTACCAAGTTTCTGCATTTGAAAAACAGACCAATGTCAGATTACCTAATGTGATTGCAGCCACCTCCCGTTGCACTTCTCATTTTTTACCAATGCAAATAACGAGACTACTTTAGGTGTTCTAATGTCCTTCTCCCTGTTTCACTATCTTTAGCCACCATAATTAGGAAGAGAAGATGCTGAGGTTGAGAAGAGATTTTTCTTTTTTAATCTTTTGTCCAGCTAAAGCAACACTGTGCCTGCATTTTTCCTTAAGCTTATTGCTTGTCATCCCCTCAATTTTATTCTTTCTTGCAGTTATAGAGTAATATCTGGAAATCATTTATACATAGTAGGCTCCTGAATATATAGATGGGGCAATAAAGTGTTCACTGGGATCAAGTAAATAGCCAGTCTTTTAGAAGAAAATTTAATCATAGTAAGAAACATGACATGATTTTTCCTTTAGTAGTAGTGATGTTGAAGTGTTTTGTTGAAAACATTACCCCTTTTTAGCCTAGATTATACCTGTAAGGGTGTACTTTGGAAGATCACTGCCTCAAGAAGAACTCAAGGACAATTTGTTCTCTAAAATCTTATCATTGTATTGGTTTTCTAGTGCACAGTTCGTTACACAAGGGCATTCAGTTTGCCCCTTGGGTTGTGATTCACAGTCTCCTGGAGCTGCAAGGAGTGTGCTGTAGTGACTTTAGGCACTGTTCTGTTTCATATTTTCTTCCAGACGATGTGTGTGTGTTGGAACCAGGATATCTGCTTTTTAAGTACAGGGACTGCAAATGGGATTTCTAGCAACCGTATACTGCGCATGCATTTCAGAGTATTTTTTTCTGAATTCATATAGTCTTCTTTTAATATAGCTGAATACTGTGTGACCAGGACTTTAGTGAATATTGAATAGATAAAGAGATTTTTCTTTTAAAATTTTTCCCATTAATGGAAGCAGGATTACATTATTATTGTCATTAAAAAAAATGATAAAATGTGTAAACTTTGGAGACATGAGTTGTTATTACACTAACATTTTATTTCATTGCCTTTCTCACGCTCTGCATGTCTTGGCAACATGTTTTGTTGCAAAACTAAAGACTGCTAGCTTCAATGCAGAGATTGTCCAATTTACATTCTAGTCATACTGCAGAGTTTCATAACCCTGTTTTAGTTTTTTCCTGGCTTCCCAACAGCTCTGCTTCCTGAAACTTAACAGGGACCTCTAGGGCAAGAGAAAGGGCCTGGGAGTCCCAGGAACCAATAAGAGCAACAAATAGTCTTAAATAAGAAGAGACCATCAGTATGTGGGGTACAACACATTGGCTGAAAAAGCAGTATAAGACAGTTGCGATTCAGTGGACTGTTACATGAGAATTCAGTACAGATGTTTGGAATGAAATGAATGATTGCAGTTGTTGCATGTGGTAGCTTTTATACAACATACCTAAAAGAATAGAAAGCATTCAGAGTAAAACAGGTCAAAAAGACAATGGATGTCAATATCTGGTCAGAACTTCTGTAAATGTTGCTGAGAACAACAAAGAAATTTTTAAACGTTTGTCTTCCAATTGAATCGATGATCCATATGAAACAAAGACTTTTTTAAAATTAATTGATGTGATTGCAGATTCCCTAACACATTATGGCATAGCTAAATACTTAGAGTATTTTTAATGTTAGCAGTACTTTTAATCTTAATTTTTCTTTTAGAGTCCATACCTAAATATAACGCTTGAAAGAAGGCAATAGCGTTGAAAGAAGGCATATCTACCACTGATGAGACTCTCTCCTTTAACAGCCCAGGCTGCTGGTGGTATTCTAGGACCGTATTGTGATATGGACCTTGGACTGCTCTTTGTGCATTGGAAAGAGAAAATGTGGCATTTTATTCTACTAACTTTTATGTTTTGTATTGTAGCCATGAGACGCAAACCACCTGCTGGGATCATCCCAAAATGACTGAGCTTTACCAGTCTTTAGGTAAGACACATCTACCAGTTTTGTTTTTTAGGGGTTTTTTTTGAACCAAATGAATTGTTAAGACAAAGATTTCCAGGAGCAGTAAAATAAAATTAAATAAAAGTGAGAGGCTGGTGCTTGGATCAAGATTAAATTTTCTGTCAAAGAAATATATAGGGCATAATAACACATTTCAAACACGTTGTAGGTAAACTGATCTACATTAGCCTGTTTGGAATGTGCACTAGTTTTACTAAATAATTCAGGTGCATTTGCTGCAAATTCTTACTGAGAAAGACTGGGGCAGAAATTAAAAAAAAGTATAATCTTGAATCTTTTTACTCTCTAATCTGTTTTACAAAAGGCAGATGAAAAATCAAACCAGGCTTCTGTTAATGTTGACTTTTGGATGGTAGGAAGCCTGTTTAAACGATTTGCCAAACTGTTACCACTACTTTATTTTTGAAACACTTTCAGTACTTGAACGCGTGGCAGCTGTCGTGATGTCATTTTGAATACCTAAATTGCATGCTGATTATGACTTCAGATGTGCCTCTCTGATGGAGTTTTTTCAGCAGCTTTTGATTTTATTAACAGAAGGACATCTATAAGATATAGTACGTCAATCCATACTCTACTATAGGCTGTTTTGCAGACCATTTAATAGCTAACTGTTTCCTTTTAATGGTCCTGCTGATAAATAAGAGAGGGTATAAAAATAGAGAGGGTATAAAAATAAGCTATTTCTCTTTAAAAGAAATATCAATGAATATGCTGCCCTCATAAAGGAGTCTACATCTCTACAGCAGAGGTACATAAACCACCTTTAAAAAAGTTAGCTCCAGTACCAGAGCGGTCCAGTCTAGCATTCAGTGCAGGCTTATTTACCTTGGTGAAAAATAGCTTAAATTATCTCCTGCTAAACTCTATACTGGCGTAATTAGACTGTTTGCAAGTATTGCTCAACTAATCTACTTCAAGCTAGCTCAGGTATCTCTGCACTGCACTGCGGTAAAGACGGACCCAAAATTTTTTAGAAAAACGATATGATAAAATGAAATGAAATAGTGTGAAGTCAATTTTTGCTTATAATGTTAGTAATGTGGCAGCAATTTTTGTTTTATAAATAATCCAGAATACTGCTCTGTATATCAGCAAGGGACGACAGAATGTATAAATTCAGGCTAACTGAATGCAAAAGCAGACGAGTGTTGACTTGCCACTTAATTATAATGTATTGCTGTGTTTGTCTCCTTTATATTTCTTCACTTAAAAGTGAGCGATTTAGAGGATCAGGACAAAAAGTGATTGTGCATGCAGACATCTCTTTAGTATGGTAGGTCTTCAAACAATTCCCTGTTAATTGAACCGCAATTCTGACTCTGCAGACTACTCTGATCTGGAGATTACGTAATATTTCTGACACTGTTACTGGTCAGACCTAAAGCTCTGTTGAAGCTGCTTTTCTTCTGGTGTTTCCCTGTTTCAGCTAGATTACTCTTGAAGATCAAGAAGTGAAAAGGGAGAGAATGCCCCGATGGGTTTAGGTCAACAGTTCAAAAGGTGGTTGAAGTCAGTTTGTATTTAGTTTAACTGAGTATTTTATCACTGTGAATGTCACCTGGATGTCAAGAGTTTAAGCCATCCTTACTGCTTAGAGAAGGAACATGTTTAAGCAGATTTTTTTTTAATCTTTTTCTTTTTTTTTTCCCCTATAAAATTCTGCTGTTTTCCTGTTCAGGAGCATGGAATGTCCAAAAGGGCAGTCCTCTCTGGCTAGAGTTTTCTTTTTGGGCTGGCACCAAGTGCTCAGTCATATGGAAGCAACTCTGGTTTTAGCAAAGGATGTATAACATACATTTTTTATTAATAAACTTTGATGTTCATATATGTGTACAGAACTGATTAAATGAAATGATTCTTTATGCATTGCCGCATAGGGTGAAGCTTTGATAAAAGTGCTACTGCATAACATATCAAATTATTTTATTTTTGAATTGGGTATATTCAATATTGCCTAACTCTCCTATAAATTTCATAATACAAGCATAACCCGTTTAGTCTTGAATAGAACCCTTAGAGTGTTTTCAGTGCTTTGCTTTGCCTCGGGTCAAAACGGTAATAACGGGATGTTTGAAGTCTTTTCAGACTGTTCAGTAATATTTTATCTGAAAAGATATTATTAAAGTTGATTTTGTATTGCATACTCATTAGATCCTATTATTTTTCTCCACATAAGGATCTAAATTTTGCTTCTCATTCACATAAGAAACTAGAAAAAGCTTAGCTATCTTTTTGCAGTATATATGCATTCTAAAAATACAGTAGAATACATGAATTTTACAGTCCAGGCAAATGCAAAAAAGTGCCTTTGCTGTCTAGTTTTCATTTCGATTTTTCCAACTCCTGCCCTCAGCCTATGGGGAATAATTCAGTTATGGGATGTAGCTCTCTGTACCTGCCAGATGTTTACTGATGTCTTTCTTTTCTGTAAATTTTAATTGATGCTAATATATCATAATTTGCTAGGGATCCTTATGTCTGACTTACATTTTTAAAAATTACTGAAAACTTAATTTTTTTTTTTAAAGTGAATGAGGAAAGTTGCAATCTGGGACAAGGTAACATTCCTCATCAGCCTCTATCTTTGAGCCACAAAAGGCTTTTCTGTAAAAAGAGGAGTAGTATTGGTTTTACTCTTCATGCATTTAGTTCACTTGCCTACTAATGACTGCATTATATTTTGCTAAAACAGAGGAATTCTACATTTTAAATTTATCATCCTTGACTCTTTTTCTGGTATGGCCAATATACTTCTGTTTTTGTGGGTTTGGAGGTAAATTAACTGGGAGGATTATTTGGTACTGATAAAAGAACACAGAAAGATGCTATGACTGGTTCCGTAACTGGTCAAGATTGTTGGTCCAAGAAGTCCTATATCCTGCCTCCAATAGTGACTGCATGAGGGAAAGCAGAAAGAAAGCTTAGGAATAAATTATAAAGTAGCCTGCCCATGAAGAATGTTTTCAAAGTCTTTTTGAGCTCATTTGCTGAAACATGGCCATTTATAAAGATGGTAGTAATAACTAAAATATTTGATATGAAATTTAATGTGTGTACCATAAATTTTTAACTGATTGATCTTATAAAAGAAGCTTTTGTTTTTAAGCTGTTTAAAATGCTTGTTCTAGACAGCTCTTTATTACTAAAATAGCCTACCAATTTTGTGAGTTTTGGTTAACCATCTGTTCCTGACCAAGTTGGGCAGTTTTTCACTCTTCCTTTAAGGTTACATAAAGTTATGTGAGAAGCTGCCAACAATAAATGACATGATTGTTGTTTCATAATCAAATCAGAGTGGCAAAAGGTAGTTGGAGTAATGGCCCTAGCTACATCATTTAATTCATCTACTAGATTTTGATTGACTAGTTATGTAAAATAAGAACATAGTAAAAAAGCAAATGCTGAAATGGGAGAGGCAGCAAATATCAGTGATGTGTGAATCTGAGAGTCAAAGACTGACTGGGGCAAACATCCCCCAGTTTGGTTTTACACCATTATGAACCACTCCCCTTTTCTTCTGACTTCCCTCTGTCTTTAAACTATCAAGAACTGCTCCAGCTGCTTTTCTTTCCAAAAGCAGTTCCCCTGCAGCAGATCTACTTTTTTACTATGTTTCATTTATTTAACAGCTCCTTGCAAATTATTTTTTCCTCATTTTTCATGATGATCCCAGGGCAACACTGAAATAAAATTTGTGGTATTTCACTGTGTCCTGGAAAATTCAAGGACCTTTGAGTGAGGGGAGAGACAGGAGGAGCAGAAACCAAATAAGTCTGGGATTGCTTAATTTTTTTCAGATCATCTTCCAAGTGTGAACATTGAATTGCAGACTGCTTAGCTCAAAATGATAACATTTTGTCTGTAACTGAAAATGAATCTAACCTTTGTAATGATGGCCCAGCAAAACTTGGTCTCTTGTGTCATAATGTTATGCTGACTGGTGTCTCCCTCCGCCAGCCTTCCCATGTAATGACAGTATGTGTTTCCTCAAGATGCATTAGTGTCACTGTAAACAATAATTCCAACAGCAGGATGCAGTCAGAAATGTTGACATATGCATCTGTTAATCTCTCCTAATTCACCAAGGTAAGACAAGAGGATAAAAAACACCCACACCCTAGGAGACTGCAGTGTGCTGCAGCTGGTGGCAGTTTTCTGTTTAGTTTGGGCGGTAGGGGAGGGGAGTTTCTCTGCAGAATATATGGAAGAAATGTCTAAATTGCTTAATGTAAGACGAGAGAAGGCTGAAAGGTACCTCCACCAGGCTGTTGCCAGCAGCCACCGTGTTGATCCTGTGGGTGGCTATTCTGTACAGTAATGTGAGGTTTTAACTCTGACTGGAAGACCAAGGTAAATAAGCATTATTTTTTTAGTTTGTGTAGTTTAATTTGTCCTTGTGAAATGCTTCCTGAAGAGGCTGAACTGCCTCTCTCTGCCATAAAAAATACACATTTGTGTTACAAAACTATTGCACTGTGTATTGTTTTTCCCTGAGATTTTATTCATGTCCAGCTCATTAATTCCCATGTTTGCATTAATAAGACATGTGCCTATCACACGCATCAAACATCTGTTTTTATACTGAAATCCGGTGAGATGATGCATATAGGCTTAAAAAAATTGCTTATCTTTTGATGTAATTTTCAAGCAAATCATAATCTGCATATCAAATTTTAATTTTCATTCCAGGAAATAGAATTGTTTGGGTTCTAACAACCTTGAATAATAGTCAGACCTAGAGCATTCTGTCTTTCTATCGGAGCATGATTGTCTCCTATATAGACATACTCCTAACAATCAGTGCAGATAACTATGGTAGAGACACCTTGATTTCCTGCTGGGCTACCAGTTAGCAGTATTTAACCTTGTGTCCCCAGAAATCTATAGCATAGGTATATTAGCAGTGAAAATTACAGAGAGAGCAAAGTAATGTTCTTGGAATACGTACATGTGTAGGA